GCTCTACAGTGAAATGACAGATGGCAGGTTTCTTTTGCCTGGCAGAAATTGGAAAATACTGGTGTAATGTTTTCTTTGCTTACATTGGATGTGTGCAGTGAAACTGGTTTATTTTTGGTCATTTCCTGTCTATGAACACTGGTATTTTAGCCAACACTACTATAATAAAATATAATGCATAAAATGAATTTCCACACCTATGAATGTTGTAATAGAAATTCATAAAATAAGTTATTATAGGAATCAGCACCACTTATTCACTAGGAAAAGAATCTTCCGAAAGATTTTAAGTATTTCTTTTCTAGCCTGTTATAAAAAGCCTAAAGGTTAAAAAAAATACTAAACCTCTGAAATGCTGTCTTTTTTTCCATCTAGACATTTAGTAGTATGTTTTACATTTAGCCTGCCTTTTGGGAACTCATTACTTTATTGCTTTAAGTTAAGCATCCTGTCTTTTCTTAGGGTCACCCACTAATTAAGAAGGAATACAGTATTTTTCTAATTCATTCTTATATAAAGATCAAGTCAAATAGATGAACATTTGGACTTGAAATTAACCACTAAAAATCTTGAAGATTATTCCTATTTGATGTCTCACTGTCCGCTATATTTTACATATGAAGAAACTGAAACTCAATGAAATTGAAAAGCCTAACCATCAAATCATCTAAAATTTGAATGAAGGCCTGATTTTTTTGCCAGTGCCATTTCTACTACACTGTATCATTTTTTTTCTGGTATACTCTTATAAGGACTAGTTGACACTATTGCACTTGTATTCTTACAGTGCAGTAGTGTCAACTAGCTTCTCTCTGCTCTATCAGCCACACAGTTGATCAACTTCTCTATCTGAAGTGGATCCTTGAAGGTCCATTTCATCTTATTTCCTTCGTCTTTGTATTCCCAGCACCAGTACTTAGATCCATGCATGGTGCTTTGAAGTTGCTTAAAAACATGCACTGAAAGGTCTTATTACATTTTTATTTTAAAACATTTTCTGTTCCTGAACCCTACAAGATAAAATCAGACTTTTCAACTTTATCTCCAGCTACTACTCGCCTGTATATTTCAGTATTCTAGTCCCGTGTTTCAGTGTTCCAGCCATACTTAAATTGTGCTTACATGAATATGTTACATATAATCAGACTTCTATGTCTTTCTTCATTATGCCCCTCTCCTCCTACTTCTGATGAAATTCTACTATTCATCACTCAAGAATCAGTTTAAATGCTACTTCCTTTTGAAACCTGATTTCTCCCCTCTAGAAGAATTAGTCATTTCTTACTGTATTTCTATAGCATATGGTTTAAATATTCATTATATGACAATAAGCACATTATATTACACATAATATATATATTTCTCTTCATTTTCATCCCCCATCCAGAATGGGAGCTCCTTGAGAGCAAATATATCTTGATTTATTTTTAAATCTCCAGGGCCTAGCACAATATCTGACACATAATAAGCTCTCCACAAAAACCTATTGATTTAATGAAATGTTGAGGTCATTTCAATTGAGAAATTATGTCTCCTGTGCTTATTGGGTTGATTGCAGGGTAGGATTAGGGAATTTATATTTCTGGAACCACAGCCCAATAAAAGTGAGCAGTAAGTTTAATATATCCAAAAATTTGCACATGATCTCTATACTGATTGCCCTTATCAATAGACATAATTTAGTGGCCTATGCCAGAATTCTTAGCACAATGTCTTGTATATAGTGAACATCTTCAGATGTTCAATAAATTAATGAGTGAATGAATTAATGAATTAATATATACATATCTATGACTAAAAAGATATCTACTGTACATACAAGGAAAACTGGATGGACAACCTCCAACATAAAAACATTGTTTAAAAACTTACTAAGTTTTATTTGTTTGTTTGTTTAGTTTTGTTTCTATGCTGAGGATTGAACCCAGCATGCTAGACATCTCGTATGATAGACACACAGTGTCCTCTACTTCTGAGCTACATCCCCAGTCATCTAAGTCTTTTCTAGGGAAGTCAGGACATATCTCCCAAGAGGAGCAAATTTATTAATATTGGCCAGGGTTTGAGGCTAAAGTCAAAGACTTCACACAGAAAATAACTGAAATGGGTTAACAGATGCTACATGTCCTATTGAAAAGGATGATTTAGTCTGTAGCCCAGCAAATTTGTATTTGTTTTTGCCAAATATCCATGTGAGATCTATATAAGTTGGAGAAAACTTTCTTCTGCTTTTATTACCATATTACTGTTTTGATGATTGTAGACAATTTTTATTTCACTTCTTTCTCAGCAGTTTCTTTGGTCATTGTTTACACAAAATAACTAATCCCTTTCTAATGATAGACTTTTTATTTTGGAGTCTCTTTTTAAAAATTTTACTCACACAAAGAAAATAAAGACATTTTCAAATATATAAGACATCATTTCCCAAAGGATTTATTCATATTTTTTATATAACTCTAGTGACCCATCATTTTCCCATTAAAACTAAACTTCTTTTGCTGGTTAAGCTTCTTTTTCTGTGGTCATAAGGCATCCCTATGCCAATTAGTTTTTCCTCCCCCTTCACCTTCTTTCTTCATTATATATCTTTGCCAAACCTGAGACAACTTTCTTGCTAATAATACCCTTTTTCTGTGCCTATATCACTGATTTTACCCCATTTGTGAAACCATAGCTATGGTAGGAACATCCTTCTTAAAATTCAATAGATTCTTATAAAGTTTTTCTCACTTTATTAATTCATTATAGAAATATGTATCAAGAAAGTATGTGCTAGGAACTGTGGTTGGCTCCACCATAGCAAATGTGGCAAAATTCAAGCCTTCAAGGATCACAATGTTTAGTAAGAGAAATAGACAAGTCAACAGATAATTGCAATGCAGTGCAGTAAGTGCTACAGAAGAGTATGCACTCTTCATCAAGTCTTCTTTATTTTAGTGGCAGTGAAATGCTCAAACTGCCATCTTTTGTCCTATTCCAGTAATGCTTATACGCTCTACCTAGCTCCAAGTATTGCCCAAAGTACAAAAAATGGAACTGATCCTTGTCTTATTTTTGTGCTATCAGCCTTTACCTTTCTAAGACTATCATCTGAGACTGTTCATATACTAGTGCTCATTGAATATTTGGATATTGTCTCTCTTCAGCCTTAAATCTGGTAGAAATTAAGCCTTTTCATATTTTCTTGATTGCATATTCACTTAGAATATACTGACATTACTACTTTGGTTGTTACTGAATAAACAACATGAAAAAGGTTAAGTAGTACTGTCAAAATAAGTATGATAAACCAATAGAGTAATAATGGTTTGTCAGTCTTATTTCCCAACATGAGCATTATAAAAATGTTGAGGATCTTTAATATTACATTAATATACTATAAATTATGTAAAGCCCATTACTAAGCTTCAGAGCCACCAAAGTTAAAAATATTTATATATGGTCTTTAGCTTCAATGAATTCATTCTGTAAGAAGAGGCAAAATTGTAAATATATATACAGTGTGAGAATTGACATTGGAAGAGTGTGCAAATGTGCACAGCAGCACAAAGGAAAACAACACACAGGCTAGTAAATAGTGCCTGAAAGCGAAAATGACAGAGTGAAAACACATACAACAAAAGCCAAGCAGTAAGCTGGGTGCAGTGGCACATGCCTGTAATCCCAGTGGCTGGGGAGGCTGAGGCAGGAGGATTGAGAGTTCAAAGCCAGCCTTAGCAAAAGCGAGGTACTAAGCAACCCTGTCTTTAAATAAAATACAAAATAGGGCTGGGGATGTGGCTCAGTGGTTGAGTGCCCCTGAGTTCAATCCCTGGTATCTACCACCCCACAAAAAAATCCAAGCAGTGTTTAAATTTTGAGGTTGAGTAAATACTTACATCTCTTTTTTTTTTTAATCACTTTTATTTTTTAAATACATGACAGCAGAATGCATCACAATTCTTATTACACATATAGGACACAGTTTTTCATATCTCTGTATATAAAGTATGTTCACACCAATTCGTGTCTTCATACATGTACTTTGGATAATGATGTCCATCACATTCCATCATCGTTTACATCTCTATTCACAAAATTTTGAGTTGGATCATAATATTTTACTTATTCCTTAGCTATTATCATTTAGGTAGCCTTTTATAGATAATATAGCTTCTAATTTGGAAATACTAACAATTACCATGTTCAGTAAAGTATATGAAGAGATTTTGTGAATATATAATATTAATAATGGATTGCTTTCATTATTTTTTATTTCAAACTGGGGAGGAAATCTTCAAAAACTTTAACAATTATATTTTGTATACACTTATGGAATTTCAAAACACATGAGGAATTCAAAAATACAAAGTCAAAGATACTACTTAATCTAGCATATAAGAAGTAAACTAATAGCTATTATGTTTTCCAACATGTTTATGTATTATGTAATTTTTACTATAAAAATATTATTTTGTAAAAGACATTTTTTTCTACCCTGATAGTTTCATAGATTAGAAAAACCTGTTTGTATTGACATGAAAAAAAAGATTCATGACATATTAAAGATATATTAAATGCACCAGGTGTGGTGGTACAGGCCTGTAATCCCAGCTGTGCGGGAGGCTAAGGCAGGAGAATCATCAAGTTCAAGGCCAACCTGGGCAATTTAGCAAGGTCTTTTCTCAAAATAGAAAAACAAAAAAAATCTGGTGATATAGCTGATTGGTAGAGTACTCTGAGTTCAATCCTCACAATCACGTGTATACATACACAAAAATATAATAAATGATTCTTTCATTAATATAACTAATTTGGGTTTGTTCATAATATTTCTATTTTAATTAAAATATATGATTAGAATAATATAAATCTTCCACATAGTCTATTGAAAATTAATTACTGAATTGAAAAAAATGAGTATAATATCAAAGGAGCTTTTCCAATGTGGCTTTGTATTCTTTTATTTGGTTTGCACGATACAACTTTCACTTAAAATTATGCTTTGGTTTTTCCAGGTCTCTAGATTCAGGACTCAACAATGCTTTATTAGGTTTATCTGTCACAGACACATACCTTGTTGAAGTAGATGGGGATACACTTTCCCTGTATGGTTCAGGAGCACTAGAATCTCTGGATCGAAATTGGAGTGTCCAAACAGCAGGAATGGTCACGACAGTCTCCTTCACATTCATAGAGTTTGACGAAATTGTCCAAGTGCTCCCCAAATTGAAGATGAAGTTTCCTAATTCTCTGGTAAACATTTCCCTTTGGTAATATCTTTCAATTATTCTTAATCATGACTTGTATGTTCAAGCCAAAGGTCTGTTTTAACTTTTATTTATGCAGGAAGGGAGACTAAGCTTTTGTGTTGATTTTCTGGTGCTGGGATTTAAATTAGTAGTCATAAATGATCTTGTATTAGAGATTTCATCTCTGAAAATGAGCCTTTATGTAGTATGAAAGATCAACAATTTTATTCAAATTATATTTCTATTTTATAAAGCATTCAATAGAATTGCATAGCCCTACTATGTATCCAGGTATTGTATCTGGCACTGATGAGACAATACTAGGTATGTATTATGTAAATTATACAGTAATTTATATTTACAATAGTCCTCTAAAAACATTGAAAACAAATTTAGTAGCATATTAAAGTTGCTTTGAGAAATTAGACTCCCCAATTATGGTGTTATTATATTATTTATTATTAAGCATTTTCAGAACCTGTAATTTTTATAATGAGTTTTCTCTTGAGTTTTTATGATTATTATTTTTCTCTTTTTGCTGATTGATTTTCCTCACTTGCCCTTTTGTACCTTACTTCCTCCTTCTTAAATAAGATAGGTAGAGGTGCAGACAGTATGTTAGAAAAGAGCCTCCGAATTCACAAAACACTTGCATTAATATTTCAGTTGTAGAGATTTGATTTTTCTATAACCAACTTAACCAGCATACACAGTATTTGGAAAGATACAAGTAATAGTGATTAAAACTAATTCTTAGAAGTTTTGTAAACCATATAAAGTTCTGAATTTTTTCTTTCCAATTTTTCTTTTGTTTAATTTCAATATAAAATGTATAATGTAACATCTGAAAGAGTCCAAATTATTTCATGTTTATATAACTATTAAGAATTCTAGTTTGTTAATAAATGAGGATATCCTTTGCAGAAGGAATCACCAGAATTAAATACTGGATGAATTCCATCAATGATGTAATAGTGGGATTAAAGTTATGTAATCCAGTTGATTTAATGTAATTGAAGACATATTTGCTAAGCCTGAAGCTTGTGGATTTAGTTAGGAAATGATCAGTGAAGCTTTAATGTTCAGTGAAGCTTTAATGTTAATATTTTAAGATGGTTAAACTCAATATTCAGATTTTTTGTGTGTGTTTTATTATTACAGCACCTTAAATTTAAGGAAACAAATCTTATAATGCTGCAGCAATTTAATGCACTAGCCCAACTTCGCCGTATTGACCAGTTGACAATTGATCCTCAAGGAAATCCAGTTGTCAATTTTACACTATGGAAATACTATGTACTATTTAGGCTAAGCCATTTTAGTATGCAGAAAATAAATGGAACAGAGGTAAGTAAAGGACTTTGCAAACTGCAGAATAAAAATGTTCCCTTTGGGGAAAATAATGATTAAAAATGGTTAAGAATCTAGGTAATCACGATAGAACTTTTGAAAAATATATTGTTTTAATTTTTACATTTGAAATGTCAGAAATCTAAAACTCTACCCTAAAATTCTAAAGCACTAGACAAAATTTTAAAATAAAATAGTAATAAGTTCATGGTGAATAGTAATATGCACTTTCTTGATATTTTTTTTAGTTTTAGTTGGACACAATACCTTTATTTTATTCATTTTATTTTTATGTGGTGCTGAGGATCAAACCCAGCACCTCACATGTGCCAGGTGAGTGCTCTACCTCTGAACTATAACACCAGCCCCATATTATGCACTTTTACTGTTGTTAGTAAATACTCAGATAAAAAGTTGGTAGGAGTGACTGTTTTTGGTTTGTTTGTTTGTTTCTTATGTTTTGTTTTGTTTTGGTAGCAGAGATTGAACCCAGGGGCACTTAACCACTGAGCCACATTCCTAGCCCTCTCTCTATATATTTATATATGTGTATATATATATGTATATATTATATATGTGTATGTTATTTACAGACAGGGTCTCACTGAGTTGCTTAGAGATCTTGTAAGGACTAACAGTTTTAAACAAAAAAAAATTGTAAATCTTCAACAGGTAATGTGGTCTTTGTATTTTTCAAAGTGCTTTTCACACTGCCTGGTATGCAAGAAGGAATGAGGAAGTGAAACTTAAATGTTAGATAATAAGGTAGAGGAAGGGAAGAATAAAATGGGGACAGGGGGAGAGAATAACTGTATGAATGTGAGAGGAGAAAATAAAGTGTAAGCAACCATCTGGACTGCTTTGTTGATAGTTGTATCATAACTATATTGGATAACTCAGACCTGAATCTGAATAGCTGGAAAATTATTAATGAAAAATTATTTTTAGATTAATTCTGCTGTCACGGGTAATCTCCTAGCTACTCAATGACCGTGTTCTCTTTAATTATTAATTTGGAAGAAAAAAGAAGCTATCCCTCTGGTCTACTGAGTTTAAATAATTATTCAAAAGAACTAAGAGTCTTTCATATGTGTTGGTCTTATTAGAATACCTCTCATGATTCAGAAAACTTCCTTACTATAAAATGAACTGTAGTCAACTTTGCTGGCACAATAACTATATTTCCCTACAACTGATAGACTACAGCTATGTCCAGCCTAGACTCCAAAAATCTAGCATACTATTAGGAGAATAGAGATCTCTCTGTTGATGTAAAAGCAACCATATGAAATCTACGTCAACCATGGTAGGTCCATGACCACAGTATCAGCCATCTATAGAAGATGTCAGGCAAATCTGGAATCTTCACGTGACCTTTCTTCAGCCAGTTCTCAAGAGATTTTGTTCAGTCTTGTGTATGCTTCTGGACCTTTCATTACTTCCCCAAAGAGAAATTATGAGTCCCTGGTGGGCCCTGGTAAATACTCCCAAAGGTTTCAGAAATTAGTCTGAACTGAAAATAGAATGGTTATTTAGTTATTGGTAGGCAATTCTCCCTCACTAATGGCCAAACTGTTACCCCAATTAACCCTTCATAGGCATTTGCTCAGATATGGATCATTACTAGAGGAATAATCATTCTTATGAAGTTTTTAAATTAAACGGGATAGTATAATTATATAAAGTAGAGAAGAATTTCTAGAACGGATATTGTAATTCCAGTAGCTTGGGAGGCTGAGGCAGGAGGATTGCAACTACAAAGCCAGTATCAGCAATTTAATGAGACTCGAAGCAACTTAGCAAGACTCTGTCTCAAAATAAAAAAAAAAATTTAAAAGGGGGCTGGGGATGTTAAGCTACTCAGGGTTCAATCCCTGGACCAGGTAAAAAAAAAAAACAAAACAATTTACTCTGATTTAAATTTTTGAAAATGTCAGTTCCAGGAATATTTGATACTTTATTAAAACATGTAATAATATAATTCTTGATATTATATAATAATATACACAGCATTTCTACTTCTCTTTGTATAAGAGAGAATGATATTACTTGAGGTAGAATTAATTATGAGCATCAAGAAGAAAAGATGGAGTAGTGGCCTACATTGGCCACTAGGTGACTATATTGGACCAAATAACTTAGTTGTCAGCTAAAGGCAGAACTTGAGGCGCCAGGATAAGAAAGTCATTCTGTACTCATTTATGTGTATATGAACTATGGGTTTATTTTTCAGAAGATGCCTGTGTAGTATTAATTTAACAGCTAATGTTAGGACTAAATTCTTTAAAGATCCAAAATTTAACTATACCAGGGTTTCTCAAACTAAGTTTCATTGACATTTCAGGCTAGATAATTCTTTATTGTATGGACTATCCTATGTATTATAAAATGTTTAGAACCAGTCCTGGTCACTACACTCTGTAGCACCCCTCCACCAGTTCTGATAACCAAAAATGTCTCCAGGTAATGCCAAATGTTCCTTAGGGAGCACAGTGGCCACTGAATGAGACTCATGAATTATATAGTGCAAACAAACTGACACTGTTTAAAATGCAAACAACCCTATTTTATATTAAATAAAACAATAAAAATTAACTCAAGTCTTGCTTTCAGCTTTTAGTACTATCTTGGTTGACCCAGGAGTGAACCCTCACAGGATCTACTTGTGACATGCTATTCTTTTTCTGGAGAAAGGCTGATGTAAATTTTGAATGAATAGCAGCATCTTTGCTAATCCTGTGAGAATTCCATCTCTCAAAGAAGGAACCAAATTATCCTTATAGGAAGGAGCAAGCTATAAACAACAGCACAGCTTCCCCTTGACACATTATTAAAATAAATCTCTTCCATTGACACATGGGAATTTTCCCATTAAATCATTCTAACTTAGGAAGCTATAGGATTTCTGGGGAAATTTTTCATTAAGAATTTAAGACTTCTCAGGCATAATTTTGAGGAAACACGCCTTCTAATTCAGAGCTAACTTATCATCCTCCAATCAACTTCCATAAGCCCACATTTGAATATCTTCACTTTAATTAGGTTCAAGGAAAAAAGAAAAATATCAATGAAAACTCCTCTCCCTATAGTTCAGGGGAATGTGCTTTCCTGGGATAAAAGAAAATATTTAATCTAAATATTTCTTTGGAATTATATTGTATCCAAATAAGAAACGATGTCATTTTGGACACCTCTCTATTTTTTCTCTTCAGGTGACACAGAATGATATGATAATGGCTGAAAGGCTCTTTGGAATCCTAGCACATGTAGCATCTTCTGAGTTACCTCAATACCGTATGATTTCAATTCTGGGTGATGCCAGGTAACCTTTTATTTTTACAGTTTTTATAGGTTACTGTTGTACTAGAAAGAAATTCCACATACCTCTTAACTGTTCCATTTATGCATCCTAAAAACATGTATCCTTGACTTATTTTGTGGCTGGCCTCATTCAAAGTATGGGGGATATAAAGACAAATAAGACAAAGTCCTCGTTCTTGTGTGGCTTACAGTCTAACAAGTTAAAGATACACAACAACATAAAATCTTTCAGTATAGAAGAGACTAACCATGTTTTGGAACAACATTGGGAAAACACGTAACCTTTTATCTAGTTCATAAGAAAATAACTAGGAGTTTTCAAGGTATGGCATATAGGGGAAAGAAATCTATAAAAGTACAAAGAATTGTAAATAGTTCAATGTAATTGGAGCATGGAATGATTATGCATAAGTCATAAGATATGAAGCTAGAAAAATTGACTATGATCTGAGAACCTTGCAATCCATACAAAACAAAAATGGAAAGTTATTCTTTGTAATTAAGCACAACAATCATGTTTTTAAGTTTATATCTAGAAAGACAGAGGTTGAAGGAATGGAAAACAATCAGGAGGATGGCTTATAGTTTAGCTGAGAGATTATGAAGAGCCAAACTGAGGAAGTGAGAATGGAGAAGAGGATTATGTGAAAAACATTTAGGTTTGCCTGACAGAACACTGACCTATAGGACATAATATGGTAGGGAGAAGAATAGTCAAGGATGATATATCAGCCACAATTCAATTACAGATAATAGAAGTCACTCTGGCTAGCATATGCAGGAAACTTGATATACAGGAATTAGATATCTACAAAATCTTTAGAAAAGTTGAGGAAGCAGTCTCTAGATTGGGTCTCCAGATTATTCCCAGAATGATACCATAGAAGCAGCCCACCAAGAAAGCTGCCACCTTGCTGTAATCATGGATAATAGGAGATTGTTGTTCCAGCTGAGTCCCACTATCATACCATTTTCATTCACTGTATTGGAGATTGTAAAGTTGCTTGCCCCTTCCCCAAAACCTGGCTCCAGAGCTATGTTGCCCCGCTATAATTCACATCAACAAAATGAATACCTTGTATGTTACCCCAACTTCTCCACTTAGCCCAGTTCTGAATTTAAATCTAACTTAAGTGTATCTGATTGATCTGTTTATTCCATCTTGAACCCCATAGAACCATTATGTGTGTGTGTGTGGGGGGGGAACTCAGGGACTTATTGAATTTAAGAAATGATGATGTAGAAAGAAATCAGTAAAAATTATACTTGTCTAAATACTACAGTGCATAGTATTTTAAAAATTTAATAACTTGAAAATAAAAATCCCCCCAAATCCTGAGTTTCTTTCCTACAGGAGAGATAATAAATACTAATTAACAACAAAAACTAATGGAGGGGAAGCTTTCAAGAGGGCGAAATAGAGAAAGAATGTCCCTTTCCTGGTTGCTTCATGGCAAGAAACCAAGAAATCAGGCAGCTTCTCAGCAAAGTTCATGAACAAAAAAGGCTGGGGTGGGATTGCGCGGGGTGGGGGGGACGGGGGGAGGAATTCATTACTGGACACTCAAAGCAGATCAGAAACTCAAGATGTTGAATATAATAAAATAAGGAAGAAATCCTCAGTGCCTCAGCCTCTGCTACTGACAGAGGTACCAGCCAAAGCAGTCCCTCCACAAGCAAAGTGGAGGGATAAGGGAATTAAAGGAACCTGAAATTTTAGGAAGACTGAGGCATGTCTGAGTACAAAGAGTTTAGAGATCAAAGACACTGCCCAACTAAACTGAAGGGCACTCTACGTAATGTCCTTGTAAGGGAAAGAAACTGCATGTCTCCCGGCTGTGTGTGGAAGACAGAAGAAGGAACCATTTCGCAGCTGAGTAGTGCCATGAGCTGGGGTAACCAATTCCTTGCAAACCCATAATTCTCGACTTAAGTTGAGCCTAAGTGACCAGGAGAAAATCAAAAGGTGGAGAGAGATTTACCCGGGGGACAACTAGTCATGGAAACCCACCCAGCTCTCTCCCTTCCCCTCCAAACCGGCTGCTTGCAGGACTGGCTGGGAGAGATGCACCTGGCCAGGGTTTCAAAAAGGTAGGAGGGGAACAGATTGAGGTTGGAGACCAAACCCTAGACCAGGAAATGTGGAGTCCGCAGGTGACAGAGTGGACTAAGAATTGTTTCCTCTATCACATGAATGGAACCCAGAGGAGATCCCTGGGGTGCAGTCTTCCAGCATGGACTGGCAACTGCTGGGCCCTGGAGGTACACTGATTTTAAATGTCCAGACCAATTGACACTCATCGAAGAAAGAGCCTGGAGCCTGCTTAAGCCTAAACCCCACATCTAGGAGTTCCACCGACAGGATTAACTTTCTCATTTTAGCAACCCCATCCTGAGGTTGGAGCAAGCATCATACCCCAGGTGACCCCACCTAACACTGCTGAAAAAGGAAAGCCAGGAATCTTTTGAACTCCAAAAGAAACATTTTTTTAACTTTTTGTAGAGATTCTTTTTCATTTTCATTCTTTCTTTTTCTTTTCTCTCTCTCTCTTTTTTATTTGTTTATTTAATTGTGACCTTAATGGTTCATGGACATTTATACATATTCATATTTTTTAATTTCTAGCATTTTTAAAGCCAGTTATTTTTCATGGGTCAGTTTTTTGAGGACTAAGATGTTTGATTAGTCTATTTCAGTTTTGTTTTCTTTTATTTTTAAAATTTTTACTTTATACTTTTGCTCTCTCGTATCTGTTTCCCTTGATTCTCTCTTTTCTTCTACTAACAACCAATCTCTATTTTTCTCTCTTCACTCCTTCTTTAATTTTTTACTTCTATTTTCTGCCCTCTTCCCTGACAATTATAACATCTATCACTTCTCTTCTTTCCCTATCCACCATTCAAAATTGTAAGCCCTTTTGTAGACTTTTTTTTTTGTAGTCAATAACAGATCATATCCTTTTTGTTTGTTATAACACTGTAGATGTCATAGCAGGAACTGTTTAGTTTAATGCTATATATTGTTTGCATTTGTGGTGGTTTATTTGTCTCCCCCTAAAAGATGAGGAAATGGAAACCTTCAAGGACACTATAAGTCTACAGGGTAGAAACTCTACTGCCTCCGATCCATACTGTTACATGGGTAGGCACACATATGTGAAAAAAGCAAGGGAACAAATCACCCCAAACAAACCAAGATAATTCAGTAACAGAATCCATTGATGCCACAGTGGAAGAAATATCAGATAAAGAGTTTAGAATATACATAGAAAATACAGGAAGTGAATGATCACTTCAATAAAGAAATACAGATTCTTAAAAAAAAAACCAAGCAGAAATCCTCAAAATGAAGGAATCAATAAACCAAATTGAAAATTCAATGGAGGGCTGGGATTGTGGCTCAGCGGTAGAGCACTCACCTCGCACGTGTGAGGCCCTGGGTTCGATCCTCAGCACCACATAAAAATAAATAAACAAAATAAAGGTATTGTGTACAACTAAAAAATAAATAAATAAAAATTCAATGGAAAGCACCAACAGACTAGACCACTTGGAAGACACAGTTTCAGGCAATGAAAAAAATAAATAGGATCTTGAAAATAGTGTTGACTATGGAGAAAATATGTTTAAGAAATCATGAACAGAACTTCTAAAAAATATGGGGTAATCTGAAATGACCAAATTTAAGATTTATTGAGATAGATGAAGGTTTAGAGATACAAATGAAAGGAATGAATCATTTTTTTCAATGAAATAATATCTCAAACCTAAAGAATAATATGGAAAATCCGATACAGGATGCTTACAGAACCCCAAAGGTTCAAAATTATGACAAACCCACACCACGGCACATTGTTATATAAATAAGGATAGAATTTTAAAGGCTACCAGACAAAAATGACAGGTCACATTTAAGAGGAAACCAATCCAGATCTCAAAAGATTTTTCAACCTAGACACTAAAATTTCAAAGGTCTTGGAATACTCTATACCAAACTCTGAAAGAAAATGCATACCAACCAAGAATACTATGCCCAGCAAGATTAAGCCTCAGAATTGATGATGAAATAAAAATTTTTCATGATAAACAAAAGTTAAAAAAGAATTTACAACTAGAATGCCTGCACTACAAAACATATGCAAGAAAATATTTTATAAAGGAGAAATGAAAAATAAACGTGAAAACTGGTAAAGGGAGGAAGTACAGAAGAAAATCAAAGGAGGAACTAATTCAAATTAAAAACTAGAATAAATCAAAATGACAGGGAATGAAAATAATCTCTCAATAATAACATTGAATGTAAATGGCCTAAACTCATGAATGAAAAGACACAGACTGGCAATTGGATTAAAAAAAACAGACCCAATAATATGCCATCTCCAAGAGACTCACCTCGTAGGCAAAGACATCCACAGACTAAAAGTGTAAGGATGGGAAAAAATCATGTATCATTCACATGGATCTCATAAACAAGCAGGGGTCTCTATTCTCTATCAGATAAAGTGGACTTCAAGTCAAAGTTAATCAAAAGGGACAAAAAAGGACATATCATACTGCTTAAGGAAATTATACATCAACAAGACATAAAATAAATATTTAAGCCCCAAATAATGGAGCATCTCTGTACATCAAACAAACCCTTCTCAACTTCAGGAATCAAAGAGACCACAACATAATAATGCTGGGTGACTTTTATATACCTTTCTTATCACTGGATAGATACACCAAACAAAAAGTAAATAAAGAAGCTGTAGAACTAAAAAATGCAATTAATAATTTAGACTTAACAGACATATAAAGAATATTTTATCCACTATGACTGAATATACTTTCTTCTCAGTAGCACAAAGATCCTTCTCTAAAATAGACCATATCTTAGGCCATGAAGCAACTCTTAGCAAATACAAAATATAGTGATAATACCTTGCATTCTATCAGATCATAATGGAATAAAATTAGAAATCAATAATAAAATAAAAAATAGATGCTACTCTAATACCTGGAGACTAAATAATATGCTACTGAATGACTAATGGATAGCAGAAGAAATCAGGGATGAAATAAAAAAATACTTAGAGGTAAATGAGAATAGTAGTATAATATATCCAAAACACTATGAAGGCACTTCTTAAGAGGAAAATTTATTGCATTGAGCTCATTCATTAAAAAGATGGAAAGTCACCAAATAAATAACCATCTCCAAGCCCTAGAAAAAGAGCAGATCAACACCAAAAGCAGTAGAAGATGGAAGATTATTAAAATCAGAGCTGAAATCAATGAAATTGAAACAAAATATCCAGAAAATCAATGAAAAAAAGTTGGTTCTTTGAAAAAATAATTAAAATTGATAAACCCTTAGTCAAGCTAACAAAGAGAAGAAAAGAGAAAACTCAAATTACCAAAATATGTGATAAAAAAGGAAGTATCACAGTGGACACTAATGAAAAACAGATGATAATCAGAAAGTATTTTGCAAATTTATATTCTAATAAATTAGAAAATAATGAAGATATTTCAGACCAATATTCCTGATGAACATAGATGCAAAATTTCTTAATAAAATACTGGCAAATTGATACAGAAACATATTAAAAAGATAGTACACCATGATCAAGTGAGGTTCATCCCAGGGACGTAAGGTTGGTTCACCATATGGAAATCAATAAACATATTTCATTAATCAATAAACTTAAAGACAAGCATCACGTGATTATCTCAATAGATGCAGAACTAGCATTTGTCAAAATACATCATCTATTCATGTTCAAAACACTAGAAAGACTAGGGATAGTAGGAATATACCTCAACTTTGTAAAAGCTATATATATGTTAAAGCCAAGGCAATATCATTCTAAATGTAGAAAAGTTGAAAGTATTCTCTCCAAAAACTGGAACAAGACAAGGATGCCCTCTTTTACTGCTTCTATTCAACATAGTTCTTGAAACACTAGCCAGAGCAATCAGATGAAAGATTCAAGTAGACTCCATGATTAAAGCAATTCTAGAAATAAATAAGATCATTTCAAAATAATAAGTTCAGTTTAAATTTAAATTTGTATGCATTTTTAGCATAGCCTTCTAAACTTATGACCCCAAATTGACACAGTTACAAGTCTACAGTTAGAGTGAGATGTTTTTATCACCTCCAAGTAAGAGAAAAGGGACATAAAATACTTGAACAATATGACAACATATTTGACCTAACATTTAAAAAATATTATCTCCAATGTACATTCTTTTCAGGTATAAACGAAACATTTATTAAAGTTGATCAAATACTATCTATAAAGCAAATGTCAACAGATTGAAAGAATTGAAATCACATGGACTAATTCTTTGCTCAAAACATGTTTAAGCTTTAACCCAGTTACAAAAAGATAACCAGAAAATTCCTACATATTTTCAAATTAAGAAACATTTATAAATGACCTATAGGTTAAAGACAATTTCATAATGGAAAACTGAAACTACTTTGAGTTGAAATATAATAAAAGTGCCACATTTCAAAACTTGTGAGGTCACTAAATTGGTGCTAAATGGAAGCAGGTTAGCCATGAACTGGGTGCATTGGAAAGATTAAAGGCTGAAATTATGGAACTAAACCTGTATTTCACAAAATTAGGAAAAGAACAGCAAAATAATCATGAATAAAGTTAAAGATATAATATTCAAAACAGTTAATTATTTGAAAAGACTAAAAAAGGGTAGTATATAATGTGTGGACATTGCTTTTATAATTTAACAATCAAAATAAAATGTAAATACAAATAAATACCTATATGCCACCCTCTTATGTTTTTTACAAAAGTAAGACAATTATACAACCAAATTTCTAATAAAAAATTGTGATTTATATCACAATTAATTTTTTATTCATTCACTGATTATAATATTTAATTACATAGAAAATGCTTATTATTATGTAACAATAAGTGAAATAAAGCATACAAAATGGTATATATGGTATGATCTTACCTTTTCTAAAATTTATAGGAGAAGCTTCTCAGAAATATGTCAAATGTAAACAGTTATAGATTTATATGGACTTATGCAGTATAGGCTAATGGATGACATTTATCTCTTTATATTTTTTTAAAATTTATACTTCCCCAAAATTTCTAAAATAATTGTTATACTTTTAAATTAAAAAGAAGGGATTTTTAAAGATATATCCCTCTTCTGTTCCCAATCTTTCAGTTCACAGTAAAGTGTTAGTATCACTTCATTCAGAGATATACCCTATGATGGATTGCAGCCCTCTGGAATTCAGCTTCCTATTTCATTACTTAACCACCTACTTAGGACCTTGCCTGATATGCTGACAGTTGGAGATTTTTAGTTTTTTGTTTTGCTTTTTCAAAACAAAAGTTTAATCAGTATTCCATTTCATTTTCTAGCTATGAGTAAAATTACTGAACTACATAAATGACATTATGAAGTATTTGTGTAATTTGTAAAGGGTAACTAACATGTTTTATAGAATATAAAGACTAAAAGTTTGTTCTACTACCTCCTTATTTGGATTGTTTTGTGCTCTGATTATTTTGTGTGTGTGTGAGTGTGTGTGTTGTTTTTTATTAAGGTAAAGATTTTTTTTCATTTTAGAAATACTTAAGGCATTTTTTAATGGTTGTTAATTATAGAACAAAGAAAAATGTGTAGAATACGTTAATTTATAGAATGGATACCAAACTGAGTACAAATAAATAATAAACACATTCATAAAGCAGATGTTCAGAAAAGCATAGGGCTCCCCTCTAAAGTCAACAAAAAATAGATATTTTTAAGTCTGATAAGCAGCTCTCAAAATCTCTTTATTATTTTTCTTTTTTAACAATAAAATAGCCACTTTATTTCTATTGATTTTAAAGCATAATAATTAGTCTTTTACTTTTTTTCTAATTAGTTATACATGACAGTATAATGCATTTTGATACATTGTACACAAATGTAGCACAACTTCTCATTGATGTGGCTGAATCACTATGATGATGTTAAGTCCTTTGGGTATAAACCAGTGAGTAGGATAACTGTGTCAAATGGTGGTTCCATTCCAAGTTTTCTGAGGTATCTCCATACTGCTTTTCATAGTGGTTGCACCAATTTGCCATCCCACCAGCAATTTATGAGTATACCTTTTTTCCCACATCCTTGCCAACATTTATTGTTGCTTATATTCTTGATGATTGCCATTCTGACTGGAGTGAGATGAAATCTTAGAGTAGTTTTGATTTGCGTTTCTCTTGTTCCTAGAGATGATGAACATTTTTTCATATGTTTGTTGATCGACTGTATTTCTTCTTCTGTGAAGTGTCTGTTCAGTTCCTTAGTCCATTTATTGATTGGGTTATTTGGCTTTTTTGGGTGTTAAGTTTTTGAGTTCTTCATATATTCTGGAGATTTGTGCTCTATCTAAAGTGCAAATGGTAAAATCTCTTTATTATTTTTCTACAGGAAAAAGCAATTCCGGTATCTACTAGAAACCAAAGGAAAAAAACCTGGCATTGTCAGTGAAGAAAATAATGATAACAAAAGACTTGTAGGAGAAAACACAAATCGTGCTACACTCAATTATACCACAAGAGAATTTTATCATGAAAAGCTAGAGGTAAAATACCATTAATCTTTGAAATCTGGTCCCTGGATATATTCTATGTGGCTTGAGGTTTGGATGTTGCGTGTTTCACCTTCCTTTACATAAAGCTGAGGACAGTAGACACCAAGGAAATAGAAAAGAGTAAAGAGCTCTGAGATGAAGAAGAGTACGTGGTTCCATCATTTTTTTAGTAGAAAAGAATATTTAAAAGAAATTTATTCCCAAAAATTTAGATCAGAATTGGACTAAGGATCCTCATCTATCTGAATTAAGAAAAGAAACATAGGCTTGTGTGGGCAGTTAACCAGCCTGTGCCAAACCAGGAGAGGACACAGCATAATCTCCATCTCTATTCTCTTGTCTTAGGCTCTTAATGTTTTAATTTATATATTTCATTATACACCTTGAACTTCTGTGTTCTTAATTATGTAATTTAACCTGTTGTGTTCCCAGTAGAGATACTTAGCCAGGAAAACTGGAACCAGTCTTTTAGTTCTTTATGTGTTCAGAGGTTTATTGGGGTAATACAATATTATGGCACTACAAGAGCTACAAAGAAGAAAAAAGCCTACAAAGTTCCTGCCTTGATGAAGCTTACAGGAAAGCAGAAGAAACAGTCATCTAAATCACTGTAGAGTTTTAAGATTCTTCAACCGAATTTTTGTTTGTTTTTGTGGTACTGTAGGAGATTGAACTCAGGGCCTTGCATATGTTAAACAACTGCTCTACTACTAAGCTATATACCCTGCCTCTTTTATTTTATTTTGAGATGGAATCTCACTAAGTTGTTGTGGCACAGTCCTGAAATACCAGAAATTTGGGGGACTGAGACAAAAGGACTGCAAGTTCAAGGCCAGCCAGAGAAACTTAGTATGACTCTGTGTCAAAACAGCTCAGTGGTAGAGTGCCTCTGAGTTTAATCCCCAATACCACAAAAAATAAAATATCTAAAGATATAGATGTATCACTGAACAGGTGGTGCATGCCTATAATCTCTGCAGCTTGTAAGGATGAGGTAGGAGGATCACAAGTTCAAAGCCAGCCTCCACAACTTAGCAAGGTGCTAAGCAACTATCTCAAAAATAAAATGGATCTAGTCTCAAAATAAAGAAACTGCAGATGTGGCTCAGTGGTTAAGCACTCCTGGGTCCAATCCCCACTACCCAAAAAAACCCCAAAAAGATAGATGTATTTCTATATCTCCTCACACAAGGTTTGTGTGTGTGTGTGTGTGTGTGTGTGTAAGGAAAGAGAGAGAGAGAGAGCACATGAGAGAGAGAAAGCATGCATGCTGTGTATCCTCATCAAATTTGAAAGTGGTTTTCAAATGTCTTTTAAACAATTATGAACTCTTTATTGATGCCATATTGTAACTGAAAACCCAGTATGTAGAAACTGTTGTTATAGAGGAAAAGTAGGGGACTCGGAACTTCATTTGATTAGATTTTCTATTCATTTCCCTTCACCCCTCTCCTAGTTCTGAAGTGTCTCTTTGGAATCTATGTTAGTCAGATTTTCTAAGAAAATCAACTTAAAAGGAGGAAAGATTTGTTTCAGCTTGGTTTCAGTCCATGGTGGCTTGGCTCTGTTGTTTCCAGCTTGTGGCCAGACAGAACATCATGGCAAAGAGTATATGGTAGAACAGAGCTGCTCACTGCATGGCTGCCAGGAAAAAGAGAGAGAGAGCGAAGGGGCTGGGGTCTCAGTATGCCCTTTAAGGGCATCCCCCCCCCACCATGACTTAACTTCCTTCAGCTCCCTTCCCACCTCCTACAGTTTCCACTACCTCACAGTAGTGCTATCAGCTAGGACCAGGCCTTCAATAGATGAGGTTTCTAAGGGACATTTAAGATCAAACCTTAACAGAATCCTTTAAGAATTACAGCCTAAAAATCATTTGAAAACTCAATTCTGTAATATTTTTATAGCATCCTAGAAAATGTTCATATTCTCCTTTAAATTATTATAGTACAAGAAGGAGCTGGGGGTATAGCTCTATGACAGAGCACTTGCCTAGCATGCTCAAGGTCCTAGGTTCCATCTCTAACACTACAAAAAGAAAAAAAGGGAAGGTCAGAGCTTAATGAGATAGTTGACTAAAACTGAATAACTCCAACTATTAATGATCCTAATACTACCTTATGTAGTAAATAGAACAAGTCTCTTCCATGTGGAAACCCTTCAAATACTTGAAGTCAACTACCTTATCTCATTTCAGCCTTCTTGACATTTGTACTTTTCACTCATTCAAAAAATCATCTTTGAGCAACTATCATACACACTGTGTGATATACTAGGTTATAGAAAGATACTGTCTTTGCCCTCAGGGATCTCATATTCTAATGGAGGACATAGATTTATATAGGGGTTATTATAAATCATTATTCTAAGAGAAGAGGAGAGATAACTAACCCAAATCAAGGAAAGCATTCTAAAGAAGATGTTCCCTAGTATTTAAAAAGGACAAAATAGAGCTATGTGATGATATATAGATACAAGGCAATTCTGTCAAATAAAATGATGTGAATAAAAGGCACAAAAGTATAAAAAAGAGACAAAGAGTGACAGAAATTACAAGGCAGTTAATTGTTGCAGTACAGAGGTTGAGAAAGACATGTTAAAAGATGAAACTGGAATGTACTGGGAGAATCATGCTCAAAGAGAATGAACATAATTTGTTGGCCATTAGAGGCTTCTTGATATTGCTAGAAGAGGAAAAGACAACCTGGCAGGATTATGAGCCTTCTTCCTAAATACAGTTGGTTCTACGAATTAAATTATAAGTGTGTGTGTGTGTTATGTGTGTACATAATTTAAATGTACAAATTTTTATAATAGAGATTTTTTAAAATGTCAAAGAGCTGCATATAAAACAAGGACAATTCATAGAGAAACCTACCCAGTGTTTAAGGAACGGATAATTCCAGTGATTTTTAAGTAGTTTAAGAGTATTTAGGATTCTGGAAGATGGCGGCGAAGGGAGAGCATCACCCCCGTGTACCGCGTCACTGTGCGGGAGAATGACGAGTTAGAACGGCTAAAAGCTATCTTGTTAGGAATTTCCAGCAAAATTGGGGTGCTCCAAAACCTAGAGGAAGGATTTCCATCGCACGAGGATCAGCTACGGGGGCTCAAACGCGAGCGATTTGTCCGCACGGAGGGTCACGCTGCTTATTCAGCAACTCGCCCTGCGGCTAGAGTCTGCGGCGTGCGCTGGGAAACGACGAGATAGCAACACAAAGATACAGCGCTGCGGATTCTGCGGGCTCCTGCCAGCTGTGCAATCACTGTGCTCAGTGCTGAATTCTGGGTTTGAGATGGGGGAAGGAAGCGGTCCAACTTGGTTCTCCACACTGGTCAGACCACAGAGGAAGCCAGCGGCCACCATCTTGGAGAGCTGACGTCACCATCCCTGTTTTCGACTGATCGCAGCTCATTCAGCCATAGAACAGGTAATTTCAGGCTGCCATTCGCCTGCGGCTCGCAGACAAATTACTCAGGCTCAGTGCTAAAGAACCCACGGAAACTGCTTCTTGGAGCCTGCTCCTATCAGAACATACACTGAGCCAAGAGTGGCCGAATTCCGGCTCCTGGAACTGCTCTGGCCCAGGGCTAAAGAACCCGCGGAAACTGCTTCTCGGTCCGGGTCCTCCTGAATACTGTGGAGGTAAATACCAACCGAGCCTTCGTAGGCAGTGACAACAAGATTGAGACGGGGCTTGTGAGGGCTGGTCAGGACTCACCCGTTGCTTTGGTCACCCGGAAAAGGGAACAAAATGCTGCCATTCGCATGGGATACCAACATGGCAGAGATCTGATGTCATCAGAAAGCGGCGGAGGAGATAACTTCATTGATACCAGCGGCGACAGAAACAGTTGGTCTCCTGGTAAAGAAAGTGAGTCACAAACACCCAAGTCTCTCTCACTTTGTCATCAAGCCAGAGGGGCAGAGCAGAGCCGCCGCCCGCGCCCGGAACAGGCCCAGCGGCCTGCCGGCGTGGTAGACACGTCACCCCAATTGGAGTAGGGGCAGAGCAGAGCCTTCGCCCGCGCCTGGAACAGGCCCAGCGACCCGCAGGCGTGGTAGTCACGTCACCCCAATTGGAGTAGGGGCAGAGCACAGCCGCTGCCCGCGCCTGGAACAGGCCCAGCGACCTGCCGGCGTGGTAGTCACGACACCCCAATTGGAGTAGGGGCAGAGCAGAGCCACCACCCGCGCCCGCAAGGTACGCAGACCTGCGACCGACCGGCAGAACAGGCTCAGCAGCCTGCCGGCGCGGCAGACACGTCACCCCATTTGGAGTAGGGGCAGAGCAGAGCCGCCGCCCGTGCCCGCAAGATAAGCAGACCTGTGACCGACCGGCGGGACAGGCCCAGCGGCCTGCCAGCATGGTAGACACGTCACCCCAATTGGAGTAGGGGCAGAGCAGAGCCGCCGCCCATGCCCGGAACAGGCCCAGCAACCTGCCGGTGTGGTAGACACGTCACCCTAATTGGAGTAAGGGCAGAGCAGAGCCGCCGCCCGCGCCTGCAAGGTAGGGAGACCTGCAACCGACCGGCAGAACAGGCCCAGTGGCCCATCAGCGTCGTAGACAGATCAGCCCAATTGGAGGAGGAACAAGCCGCCGCCCGCCCCTGCAAGGGAGACTTTTCACCTATACAAGAGCAATATAAATATATAGGGGGAAAATTTTGAAAACACAACAGTTTCATCAAGCAGAAAGAAACGCGAGCAGTATGAAAAGACAAGGAAAGAAAGGACCACAAGTCGGGGCTGGGGTGTGGCTCAAGCGGTAGCGTGCTCGCCTGACATGCATGCGGCCCGGGTTCGATCCTCAGCACCAGATACAAACAAAGATGTTGTGTCTGCCGATAACTAAAAAAAAAATAAAATATTAAAATTCTAAAAAAAAAAAAAGAAAAAAAGAAAGGACCACAAGCAATGCAGGTCAACTCAACTTTAGAAGAGGTAATAGCTGCAGCAGATGGAATGTCAGATAAAGAATTCAGGA